GTTCTCATCTCAAGAAGAGACCTACGAGCTTCAGGAGCGGTGCAACAGCGATTTCTCAATACTTACAATAGACAATAATGCGGTCGTCTCGAACTGAAGTGCATCGTTTTCGGCTTTGACCTGGCGGTTGTATGATTCTGCCTCCCGAAATCGTCTGATGGCATCTTGTACCGTAGTTCTGGGCACATCGAGTATACCAGCGATATGACGTTGATTGTAACCAGCATCAACTAAAGCCACTTCCCTAGCAGCATTAGTTGGAACGAGTGGCATTTTTAAAATCACAAATAATAAATCACTAAATTATCACATCACAAATAATAAATCAAATAATAAAAGCACTAAAATTTCAGCTTAAACAATATTCGCCCACAATGATATAAAATTACAATTTTAATTGTTAATTTTAGTTACAAATTTAATTTTAATTACAAATTAAATTAAAATTTTAATTAAAAAAACTCCTTCGATGACACAAATTTATGAAACAAACTGTCACAGGTAATGTAAACAAAATAATAAAGGTGGTGGGGTCAATTTTGAGGTGAGTTAAAACGTCTGTATTGATGAAAAACATGGCTAATTGTTAAACTACCTAACTTTTGTATTAACCAACATAAGCGAATGAATCAAAAAACAAAATGTTGAGAAAATATGAGGCTATAGTTAGTTTTAATTTCAATATTTTATAAATGCTAGAATATTCCACAGGTTGATGCAAACTTTAAGAAAAAAAACACAGTTTAATTCGTACACCCGGTATACAATGAAAATTTACCTGTTTAGCAACCATATTATTATAACAATATTGTCAAGGAATAAGGCTATAACATATTAAAAAAGTCACTTAAATCGGACAACAGGTTTATTAGATATAAGACATCAAAAATTACCCATTTTTAAGGTAGCCGGTTAATTTTGGCCCAGAGAGTGTATGTAGAAAAAAAATTATAATCCTATTTTAATAAAAGATATTAAAAAGGAGGTCCGTATTTGACCCACCCTTGTATATAATTACCATTTTCTGCACCGTTGTAGAGTTTACAGTTATCAACGATCAATTGAAAATCTGCACGGAATCTATCAAACGATTTGTAGAACCCAGAATCTAGTCTCTCCTCCATACGTTGCAGATCCATGGGTTTTCTGATGACCGTATAATAGTTAGGGGCATATTCTTCTTCTACCGGATCTGTAAAAGGCCATGCATCTTCGTGGTTTTTGACGTAATCCAAAATTTTGTGCATTCCGGTCAACAAATCTTCGTCAGTTTGACGAAATCTGTAAAGAATAAAAGTTAATAGAATTGAAGTGCAAAAATATGAATTAATATTTTTTAGATAACAGAATTCAACAAAGACAATTCGAAATGGAAGTAAGATAAGTAATTCGTTATATACTGCCTGGGTAATATTCTATCGTCAGTATGGACCTTACGTGAGACGGAGTGAGAAACACCTGTTTAAAAAGAGAAAGGTATATTAGGTTCGCCCTTTATGTCGTCGAAAATGTATTAGTGAAAATAACAAATTCAACAGAAGAAGGGAAGTTCAAAGTTGCCAAACGTATTGGTTCTTATTTGACTTGTTGTCTTTTTAGCATTTGAACAATGTTTGATGAACATTTTGATTTCCACTTCGGAAATCGTTGTATATAAATAAAATTTATTAATGTTTCGTATTATAAGTACGATTTCCGAATTGGAAATTTAAACATCAAAATAAGCTTATTTTAAAGTCACATTGTGCCTTATTCTCAATAAAAATAATAAACTACATTATGACGCCACAATAAAAATGTTTCATACAAAATTATTTGGCACGTTGTGTCGTCAAAATAACGACACTTTGATTTTAATACTGTGGTAACAAGCAGAACAGAATTAGTTTGGTATGTCATGCGTATTGCATGGATTCGTGGGTTGGTCTTTCATAAAGCATAATAAATAAAGACAGTACTAGTAACGCATTAGGAAGGAGTAGGTGTATTATATTAAATTTGAACTGGACGAAAAATTACATCTTTTAATTAAAAATAAGATATTTGGTATTTTCCAAATAATATCTTTGAAACCATATTTTCGTTTAGATTTTTTGGAGGCAGTAGGTATGAAAACAAAAAATTAGTTCTACAAAAATAAAATAAATAAAAAATAATTCCAACACTACTGTTTAAATTTAAAATAATTCCAAACAATTAGAAATTCTAAACCAAATAAAATTCTTAGGTAATTAAATGTTCAAAAACGCCACCAAAGTGTAACGAACAGTAACCAAATATATTATAAAACGCATTTCTCATGGCGATTTGCCGAATGTTTTGGCTAAGTTGGATTATCTTTTCCTTCAGCTCCTCCAAGTTGGTGGATCGCTCGAACCTATGCCTGTACAATTTCGTTTTTAGCATCCCTCAAAAATAAAAATCTAGAGGAGCTAAGTCCGGGTGACCGAGGGGGCTATTTTATTGTAGCGTCTGTACTAATGACACGTTCAGCAAAAATTAACGCTAAATAGTCTTCTAACGACTTTTGCATTATGTACAGGACAGCCGTCTTGTTAAAACCAAATTTCGTTAAAGTTAATTTGAAGACGTTGAAGTGCAGGAATAATTTGATTTTGCAGTAATTGGAAATATTTGACTGGGTTTAAATTGCCTTAAAAAAAAGACGATAATATTGTCTCCCAAAATTCCAGGCGAAACATTCAACTTTTGTGGATGCACGGACACACTCAAATGGTTTTTCTCCTGAAACCAATAACGTACAACGGATGGATTATATTTCTTGTGAATTGCGAAGGAGGATTTATCTGCAAACAAAATATTTTTCAAAAAATTATTATTTGCAAGTCATCTCTCCATCATAATTTCACTAAATTGCATCCGTTTAAACTGATTATCAGGAAATATTTCTTTAGTTGTCTTCACTTTATAACAATGGTATTTGATTATTTTCAAAATACTCCTCACTGTTTTTGCATTCAAATCCACTTCATCGACAATTTGTTTATTTGAACAATGCACAAACTTGAATTTCTCAAATTTCTCGTTCTTGAGAAATTTTCTTTTCGCGAGGTTGATCTGACGGGCAGCATTTTTTTATATCTGTCATTAGTACAGCCAGACTTTTCAAATTGATGAATAATGGCCAACAGTTTTTCTATAGGTATTGGCCTATTTCCAAAGGCCATAATAAATAAATTAATAGTTTCTGGTACTGAATTGACCCCAAAAGTACCATTTCATAATTTGTACCCGTTCTTCTGTTGTATAAACAGTCGGCATTTCAAATTTTTATCTTCACACAAAAAAAAAAAAAAAAATACATAGCATAGCGTTCGGCCTGTCTCGTATGCAGTTTACCATTGAAGAGAACGGACGAATGGCGATGTTGCCAAAATTATCTTGTTTTATTGGAAATTAGGGTACAATTTCGTCAAATAAAAATGTGAATCAGTAAATTTCTCATGGATTTAAGAAATGTTGTACAAGTATTTGTGTCAATTAGTGTTTCATTTTTAATATCATCATCCAGCTTTAAATGGCAATATAACCGCGCTACTGATCGCCAATTTTTTGAATCAATTTAAATATGACGTAAAAAGGCAACCCTGCCGCTGTTTCTTACGTATAAGCTGGATCGGAAATAATCGTCTGGCGTTCACTAATGGGCGTGCATGAGGAATGTGGAGGGGAGACCAAGGGGAAATATGATTGTTATCTTTGCCTATTCGCTGAAAATATGATTTTATATCTGTGTTAGATATTTTGTTAAATTCTACTATACCGACCATAAACTTTAACCTACACCGTATAATTGCACTATATAAACAATTTTAAAAACCAATAACTTAACGTCTGTCTTCGCTCACACTGTGACATTTTTCGGTCTAGTTAGACCTCATTGGATAGCGATAGAGCTGAGGACAGACTAGGAAAGAGAAACTCATGCTTCTTCACAAAGTTTCCTAATTAACAGAGTAGTCATGCTAGGTAGAAGTCATTTACTAAGGATGGCAGCAAATAGGCACCATTGTTTGTGTCACAACTTCGCAGCGATCGCTAAAATATTTGAAAAATACCCCTGCGTTTCAGAAACAAATGTGTGTAATTTGTTTTATAAAGGCGTAAATTCACCCGAAGGAATTAATGTTTGTTGTTTCTCCCTAAAAGGAGAATCTCACTTCGCACTATATATATATATATATATATATATATATATATAGAGAGAGAGAGAGAGAGAGAGATAGGAATAAGAGAGATAATTTCAATAGAGGGTTCTCTGTCAAGTGAAGTTGTAGAGCGAGACTATTGCTATTTCACCTCTATTATTAGATCCGTTTAGTATATGAATCTTTTACCAATATCCTTTTGTTTTATCTCCAACTTCATTTGACCGATAACTTTTTCACTAGTACTATCCTGATTTCCTTGATGTATATGGGAGGGAATACGAACACTTGAGGTGGAAGAGCAAGCATGACTTCGACCAAGAACATCAACTTTTTACTCTTTTACACATTTACTCTTTTATGTGTGAAAAACGGCTGAAATATATTGAATGAATATTACTTAATTATTTCTATATTTAAACATCTTTTATCTCAATATGTACTATAAAACGACTCTCAGTTATCAAACAAGTGATTAATATTTGGTTCTATAAAATCTGCAGATCAAATACATGCTCTTTATGAATTATATATAGAAACTTCTTCGAATTCTTTCCCTTCACATCTAATTTCGATTGGCTCACTGAGTAACTGATAAGTGGAATGAATATATTCCATTATAAATTAAAAATATATATTTAGCAATGACAGGCTTTACCCTATTAAAGTTAATGTGATGCTATACTGTGCATCACCAATTTAGCATTCCTGAAGCAAGTAAAAAAAATGTCTGTTTAGTACAGAACATATAAATGAAATTTTTTCTTTATATACTTTCCATTTGTCATGACAATTTTGAAAGGGTTACATTTGAAAGAAAAAGCCAAAATGGATAGTCTAAAATTTTATTAAGTTCTTAAATAACATCACTGTTTACTATTACAACCAAATTAATTTTGTTTGTAACTTAATACGTTTTCGGTTTAGGATCTCTTTCGTTTCCCTGTAGCGACCCCACCACATAGATTTCTCTTAATTTGTCTAAAAAAATAAATTCGATGTACAGATGATGTTATAAATATCTGATTTAGATTGAAGAGAAAGTTTGATTTTTTTTTAATATTAAAAGGGTGTAATAGTATTTTTGTTCAATGATGATAGTTTCAAGATTGAAAGAAAAAAATTCATTGAAAATATTATATAGAATTACTGTTTACTTAAAGTGTGGACATTTGTACTGTCGGTTGCAATAACATTCAATAAATATCACTTCACTTTCGCTCTATCTCGAGAGATACATTTTTTTCTTTTAAGTTCGTTGCATGTCATCAATGGGATTTCTGTCGTCACAATAGAACCAACTGCATAGTTGATTAGGTTGAGTTTACCGAAAGTACAAGCTGATTATAGCCGCAAATATCAAATATGGAACAAAAAATTTCGGTTTAGCAGTGTTGGCATGTTTTTATAATGTATATGCTGTATGCTTCGAATATAAAGAGATAAAGCTTTAAAAAAGTACATTTTGATTAGGGGAGAGTAGTACACATTGACACATAGTACACAATGAAACACTGTTATTAACTAAATCAAATTTGCCGCCACATTGCCACTAGCGCTTCAACGGATACTCGATAATGCATTGCGCCTGCCGACAGTAGTTCGCTTTGATATTCGGAGTAGTAAACATTATATGACGTGTTTTATTGTTTTGTGTGCCTGAGATTTAAAAACTGAAGCGTTTATAAAAAGGTATGTTGTCTATAAATAGTTTTCATTTTCGTATATATGTCGTTACAATACTTGTGATGAATGCCTTTTAACCTATAAATATCGTTGCCAATAATTGCCGGGTTTTCTGTTTACATCCAACTGAAACTTTAAACCTGTGGTAGTACACATTGAAACATATAGTGGTGGTACACAATGACACATGTTTCATTGTGTACCATACTGAATCATTCTATAACAATGGCATTTTATTGCAGGTGTACCATGGTAAGGAGGAAGAAAGAAAGATCCAGAGCCAAATTTACAAGTGAACAAATGGCGGCAGCAGTCACAGAGGTTAAAAAAAAATGGAACTGCACTTCGCCTTGCGGCAGATATGTTTGGCGTAAATTTTAGCACTGTGTGATTATATTAAGAACTGTACCAAATGGCTTTTGGGTAGAATACTCTAAAAGTTAGAGAATTGGAGTATGACATGGCTGCTAAAAACAATATCACTATGCCAGACTCTTGGAAGGCCAACAAATGTGCAAGCAAAGATTGGTTAAGGGCATTTATAAAAAGAAATTCATCATTAAGCCTTAGAAAGCCAGAAGGATGTTCACTGTCAAGGCTTACCTCATTTACAAAACCCAATGTTGACCGGTTTTTCGTAAATTTGGAGCAAATATACGTAAAATATCCATCAATTGTTGAAGATATTCGAATCTGCAATTTAGACGAAACTGCTACTACGACTGTCCAACGACCACATAAAGTTGTGGCACAAAAAGGTGTTAAACAGCTGAACCAGTACACAAGCGGATTACTCGCTACTACTTGTGCAATAAATGTATTTCATTCTAAAATTAAATATGAATTCTGCAATTTTTTATTTATATAAAATAGGAATGAGTAAATATTTGTTTCTTTGGAGATTAATTGCAGTTAATTATTAGAAATATTCTTGGCAATTGCGCTTTGAGAGATTAGGGGAAATGTCTGGCAATTGTCAAATCAGCAGTTGCCAGATTGCAATAGGATGTTTGCAATTAATCTCGAAAGAGAGAAATATTTACTCGTTATTGTTTCATATAAATTAAAAATTTCAGAATTCATAAAATAGTGTACTTTTTGAAAACTTTCTCTTTTTATATTTGAAACATACAACATGCATTATAAAAACATCCCAACAGTGCCAAACCAAACTATTTTATTTCATAGTTGAAATTTGCTTGTACTTTCGGTAAACTCAACCGTTGATTATACTGTGAGAAAAAATGTTGACGTATACTGTACTACTCTCGGAGTAAATGGACTCTTCCAACCGTTTACTGTGAGTGCGAACCACGAACCTGTATGCGGAGGAAATATAAATATGTTTCGAGACGTTAAATCCGTGAAACTGGCCTCATTTAATTTTTGAAGCGAAGGTTCTATACTGGCATTGTATTACTTTTTCTCTATAGGAAAATTATTATAGAGAAAAAGAAATACAATGAAAGTATAGAAGTTTCGCTTTAAAAATAAATGACCAATATATTATATTACACAATCAGTTGTAGTGTTAATACTCAAATACCAACCAAAATTTTCGATATAACACCTCATTGTACCTGGTACTTAAATTTATACCAAACATGGGTTTTTCACTTTTTCTATGGTATTATTAATGTTAATACTATTTTTGCATATGAACATACAATACTTTCTGTGTTTAAATAATACTCATTAATATATCACTAAGAAGTTGTGGTAACTAGAATCAAATTCTAACATAAAGTTAATGTGTACTTGATGTTAGTGCAACTGGCGGTCAATGTCTAATGAATATACGTACATCATACATACATACATATATATATATATATATATATATATATATATATATATATATATATATATATATATATATACTCATGGACAAAAATATCGAATATTTTGGAATTTTCCAATTTTTTTTTGTAGTCACTATTACTGATAATACTCATATAGTATGCGGATGTACTCAACTGGTTTGAAATATCTGGACGTTTATTCAGTGGTTAGTGTCATTCGTACATTTTAACATAAAAACCTTCATCGCGTAAAAGAAAAAATCATACTAATTCGGTTATTTTTAGTTTAATTTATTAAGTTTAGTTAAATATTGTTTTAATTTAACAACGTTTACAACAAGTGTGCCCCAATTCGACACTGCGATGAAGCCCAAGTAGCACATATTGTAAGTTTGTACGAGGAAGGATATGAACAAAAAGTTATCGCACGACGTCTCAGCAGAACTGAATCTATAGTTTAGAATACTTGAAAAAGGTACCGCGAAACAGGAAATTTTTTACGAAGTAGTCAAGAACTAGCTAGTCAAGGACGTCCAAGGTGCACAACCGCAATGGATGACCATTTTTTGCGTTTTAATTCTACACGAAATCGTTCATTGACATCGATGCACCTCAGAAATGAGCTACTAGATGTTAGACAATTTAATGTGAGTTTACAAACGTTAGACGAAGATCAAAAGAAGCAAACTTAAAGCCCAGCGCCCCGCCAAAGTTCCACGTCTCCTCCAAAATCATAAAGCTCGTCGTTTGGAATTTGCAAGAACACATATAGTGGAATATCGACAACTGGAAAAACGTTCGTTTCACTGATGAGGCCAGAATCCTATTATGGAAGCCAGATGGTCAAAATATGTCTACAAAATAGTTGGAGAACGATTCTCCAGCTACAGTCTCACCCAGACCGTTAGTTTTGGAGTTAATGGCATAATTCTTTGGGAAGGTATTAGTTGGGAGGTATGTATCGCACTTGTGGAAGTGATTGGACGGATGACTGGTGACTCTTACGTTTAAAATATCCTGCAAGATCATGTTTTGTCATATGTTGGTTACATTGGATATGAAAGATTCATGTTAATGCAGGATAATGCTAGAACACATGCCGCTGCCATAGTGAGTACTTATCTTGATGAGGTCCAAATTCGAAAATTGGATCGACCACCGTTTAGCCCGGATTTAAATCCAATAGAGCACTTGTGGGATCACCTAAAACGCAGCATACGACAAAGAAATCCGTTCCAAATACAATAGAGAAGCTTCGGCTCGCTGCACAGGATGAATGGAATGCAATTTCTAAGGATATGTCCAAAATTTACTTGCAAGCATACTGAGCCAAATGCAAGCAGTAATAAGAGCTAGAGGGGAGCATACTCGTTACTGATGATGCACTTCTTTCAATTAAAGAAGACTTGTTTAGAAATTTAAATTATCATTTACGTTTAGAGTAAAATAACCTTATATACCTAATATTAAACATTTATTTTTTTCGCAATTTTCTCCTCATAAAAACTTAATTCATTAAACATTGGTAAAATAAATTCTATTATACAATAAACGATTTATTTGAAAACAAAAAATTAGAAAATTCAAAAATATTCGATATTTTTGTCAATGAGTATATATATATATATTATATATATATATATATATATATATATATATATATATATATATATATATATAAGAGTAAGAAAAAAGAAGTACTTGTGACTCGTTTGGAAAAATATAACACTGTTTTTGATGGGTTGGAGTCAATAAAAGGGGCTATTTGTTGACTATTTTTTACTCGAGCTTTCAATTGTGATTACAATTTTTATCAAGAGCTTCTAAAAATACAAAATATCTTACAAAGTTGAACTAGAAATAAATAATGTTGTTGTTAACTCACCAAATAAAATTAGTTATTTATATAAAACTGCCGCTAACATTATTACAAAAAATATTATTAAAAAAATGTTCTATTCTAATAAATGTCTCTCTGACAAATTTAGATAAAGTTTCTTAACAAAAAACAATTGAATTTGTAAACAAAAATTGAATAGCTACAATTCAGCCTAAATGTCGTAAATAACAACTTAAAAATTTTTATTTTTGACATATTGTCAAAAATAAAATTTTTGTTTAAAAAATTCTTCTTTGTTTAGTAACAAAAAAGAAGAAGATTTATTCATCATTGATAAATGCCCGAAAAAATGTAACAAATACATGGAAAATTCAAAATGTGATATTTTACTGACTGCATAAATTAAATAGAAATTATATAATTATAAAAATTAATTTTATAAAATTTAAGCAAAATTTATAATTATATAATTTCTATTTAATTTATGCAGTCAGTAAAATATCACATTTTGAATTTTCCATGTATTTGTTACATTTTTTCGGGCATTTATCAATGATGAATAAATCTTCTTCTTTTTTGTTACTAAACAAAGAAGAATTTTTTAAACAAAAATTTTATTTTTGACAATATGTCAAAAATAAAAATTTTTAAGTTGTTATTTACGACATTTAGGCTGAATTGTAGCTATTCAATTTTTGTTTACAAATTCAATTGTTTTTTGTTAAGAAACTTTATCTAAATTTGTCAGAGAGACATTTATTAGAATAGAACATTTTTTTAATAATATTTTTTGTAATAATGTTAGCAGCAGTTTTATATAAATAACTAATTTTATTTGGTGAGTTAACAACAACATTATTTATTTCTAGTTCAACTTTGTAAGATATTTTGTATTTTTAGAAGCTCTTGATAAAAATTGTAATCACAATTGAAAGCTCGAGTAAAAAATAGTCAACAAATAGCCCCTTTTATTGACTCCAACCCATCAAAAACAGTGTTATATATATATATATATATATATATATATATATATATATATATATATATATATATATATATACACATTTGGATTGGAAACACCTCTATAAAATTTGAAGTTGGTAACCGATTTTTTCTTCAAATGGGATGTAATAAAATGTTTACTTCGGGACATAATTTAAAATGTTAATTCAAATTTCCAGGGCATTTTGTTGTTAGTCGAAAAGGGAGAATTTTTATTAAAGAAATACCTTAGGTACTGGATTTAGAGTGGCGCCAACTAGCTATGACAACAATTTCATTAAAATGTATTTATTATTAAAGAACGTATCACAAATTTTAAAACGGACTAAGCTACGGGACACAAAATAACACCTTGTATGGACAGATAGCCATAAACATTTTTATTTTTTAAATAATTTTAATAAGAAACCTGAGATATCAATATCAACCGAAGTGCCAAATAAGTTTGTAATATATTTAATGACATACACGCCGAACGTACTAATATTAGCTACGGTACGAGAAAATTCAATGAACATTGCAGCCTAAAAACGAATTTTAAAAAATAACTCTTTACAAATAATGAGGAAATGATCACATTAACTGTATTATTGATCCTTTCTTCTTCAAGGAAAATATGAACACAAGGAAGTTTGTATTCTAATTTTTAAACACTGACTTGTAGAATGCTATTAATGAGCTTCCACTTAACGAACAATTAAATTTGTGTATCCAGTTACACAGGTGTTCTTTTCAGTAGATTAGAATTGTGTTTAGCAATACCTAAATAAAAATTTTCCAAACCGTTGGATAGGCTGTGGTAGTCCGTTGATAGTTTGGCTACCTACATCTCACAATTTTAGACTTCTTCCTCTGGAGACTATCAAACCAAATTTTACAAAACTCGTCCAAGAGACGTAGACGAGCTTCGTCCAAGAATTCGAAAGGTATGTGCAGAAATGACTTCCCAACAGCTAAGAAATGTAATTACACATATTTTTAAGTGCTACTTGTAAGGTATTCAATTCGGCGGTGAATTGGTAGTGACAACTAAGATTTAAACTAAACTTATGTTTTCATGACAGTCTGTTGATACGGGATGTTCTGTTGTGATTCGCAGATTAGTGAGTTTTAAAATTTTAAATTGTCATAACTTTAGTTATTAAAAAATATATTCAATGACATTTTTATCATAGCTAATTGAAGCCACTCTAAATCCAGCAGCGTAGGAATTTTTTTAATAAAACAATCTTTAATAAAATTTTTCCATTTTTGACTAAGCGAAAATATCGTCGTATGCACTAAAAATTTAAATAAACATTTTAAATTATGCCCCTAAGTAGACATTATTATTACATAATATGTGAAGAAAAATTGGTTAAAATCAGTTAACAACTTCAAATTTTATAGATAGTTTATTGTTATTATTATTAAAAGACAAATAAAACAGTACTTACACTTGAGATGTTTTCAGTTTTTTCTTATTGGGGTTTTTAACTTGCTCTATAACTATTTGACCTGTAGCTGCTGAAAGGGAGTTATTGGTCTGCCTCCCAACAGCGTTCGGTTTGGATGTATATATTGTTGGTTCATCGCTCTGCTTTTCCTTCTTTTTGCCAGACTTTGAAATCTTGGTTTCTTCAACTACAAACATTATTATTTTGAATAAAATAGTAAAATAAACTAATAAGGGGGTTGTCTTTTTAGTTTTGCATATAGCCATGAAGACAAAAATATATAGACTTAAAGTACTTTATACTACTACTACTACTATCGGTTTACAGCGTTCTCCGACGCATTCCGACTCCCTAACCGCCGTTCTTCTCTATTTAACCATAGGACTGGAAGGACTTCTCTTTCCTCTAGTTCTTTTTCAATTCCCTTTCTCCAGCTTCTTCTCGGCCTTCCCCGTTTCCTTCTCCCTTGTGGTGCTTACGTCAAAATCTGTTTCGAAATCCTGTCATCTGGCATTCTCTGTACATGGCCGTACCATATTAACTGTTTTGTTTTTATGTCATCAACTATTGTATGCTTGACTCCCATCATTTCTCGTATTCTCTCATTTGGTATCCGATCTCTTCTTGATTTGCCTGCTGCTCTTCTCCAAAAGTCCATTTCTGTTGCTAGTAACAGTTTCTCTGTTCTTTGTTTCATTGGCCAAAGTTCACTGCCATATGTGATTACACTTTTAAGTATGGTGTTGTATATGAGTTGTTTGTTCGCTTAGATATTGTTTGGTCCCACAGAATGCCGTTCATCACGGATATGGCTTTTCTATCCTGTATGTTTCTGTCTTTTATAGCAGCATCGAGTGTTCCATCTTGAGTTATCTTCACACCCAGGTACTTGTATTCATCACAGTGTCCTTAAAGTAAAGTACTTTATTGCTTTTCAAATATGCCCACCAAGATCGATACACTTTTGCATACGTTCAAACCAATTGGCAACACAGTTATTCCAGTCTTCAATTGACACCTACAAAATCGCTGCTTTAAAGGCATCGATGGCTTCTTCTGGCGACTGGAATCGCTGCCCACGCATTTAATTCTTGATCTTTTGGAACGTGAACAAGTCGTTGGGACTGGCTGAGGTACAGCCAGGACCCAATACAGACCAAAATTGGTTCCTCATTAATTTGATAATTACAAGTTGGAGTTATTGCACATCCAAACTAGAACATCTACCTTTTTCTACATTATCACAGTGCTGTCTGTTCTAAATAAATATTTTCAATAAATAACACACATTTTCAAAATATACCTCTTGAATAAATATAAATAACTTTTATTAAATAATATAACACATTACATTTAATTTTTAACAAACAATTTACACAGTACCTACATTCCTTGTCTAGTTTTTAATATCTTTTTCCCTCAATAACTTTCCCTTTATTCGTTAAATAGTTGCAGTAAAAGCGATGATCACCTGCCGCCAGTTTACCATAACATTTTTTTAACTATGTTTTCTCAAACAATTAATAATACTCCTTGTATCGGCATGTTAGTAATATTTATTTATTTAACTTTAAATTTACTAGATAGTTTTTCACTTAAGTTTTCTGTTTTATTTAATCTTTTTATTGTTTGAATTGTCTATGTATAATTGAAATGTCATAAGAGACTTAAGTTTTGTACTATGCTCTCTATATTTAAATAATTTAAGAACATTTAATAGCATTATTGCCAATTGCAAAGAACAGACAACAAAAGAAAAGAAACACAATTATGATATGTATAAGCACAGTAAGTACTAAACAATCTTAAAAATATCAATAAATACATGTTTCTTTCTGGATAGACGTAACACTTAAAGTTCATATTAAAAACTTGAAAGATATTTTTAAAGAATGTACGTTGTGGAAACTTTTTAAAAATATTAGATAATAAAGAAACATGATTCTCGAAAAGAATTATTATTAAACTAATTAATATTAACCTCAATAATTACCTAATTAATATGTATTATTATTGTATGTAAAATGTTAATGATTGCTTTTTATTCTTAAATAATGTATACGAATTACACATGTTTATATGTGTACTACATAATATGTATATCACAATTTTGTATAAATATTGAATATTAATATTTACATAATTATTTATTTGAACTTATTTAATTTTAGCAATATATAAATAATAAATGTAGATAAAAGTAAAAATCAAAACTAATTACCTACTTGTTAAAAAATATATTTATATACTTGTGCTCTATTATATATGAGATAAAGGGTTGAAAAACTGAATTATAAATAACTAGCTGAACCGTCTTAGATTTATTAAATGATGTTTCAAAGTTTAATAAGCTCCCCTTTCGAGTCTGTTAAGGCTGTTTTATCGGTATACCAAAACCTAGATACAGTATTTTCTCTGTTATTTACCGACAAAATATCTCGAAATTTGGACACTTTATTCAAAATTATGATGCCTTTAAACTGATGGTTTTACTTTTTTATTTTTTTTTGAAAGTTCTTTTGAAATATCGGATTATACAGTTTAACGTTCTATTATAACCAAACTTTTTACGCCCATCACTTGAAAGAGTTTTTTTTTCTGTAATCGGTGGTTTTTTTTTTCACCTTTTTATGTTCAGTAATAATCGAGAAAAGCGTGTTCAAACTTGGAAGAAAATTGCTAAAAAATACTGAAATCTAATAGTGAAACGTGTTACTAACACAAATGATAGATTTATTACCGACCAATTCTGTAATAGTCAAGGACAATGCCAGTTAACATTCAAGGTTAAAGGAACCGTTCTTCTTCTTGTAGTGCCTATCCGTTTCGGCTGTTGGCGACCATCATGGCAATCTGTATTTTGCAAACTGGTGCCAAACCCCATATAACTACTCTGGACTCAAATGAAGGGATATGTTACGAGAAATAATACAACATTTAAACTTCAAGATGTTCGTTAACTATTTTCTGACTCCATTCTTGCTAAATTATCAGGATCAGGTTCTGGCAATTTTTCCTTACTTAAAGATAAATTATATCTTACTTTTCTGGAAAATTTCCCTCCAGCTCTTTTGAAAGTTGGAAAGCTATCGGTATTAGAAATTAGGACACATATTTTGTTCATGTATGATAGTGATGCTCCATATTTTGCAATAATACAGGAGTTTTTAAATAATGATTTTACCCTTTTGTATAGATCCCCTTCTTATCAAATGGTCTGTTTTCCAGATAGGAAGGGGGTCTGTAGACCCATGGCTTACAGGTTGCATGGAAACAATGCCCTGAATTTAGATCTGATAGGATATTTAAAATCGTTGGTTAACAAAAACTAGATTGTATATTTAGTAAAACTACAAAATTGCATCGTAGAAGGCTGTAATATTATTCCCAATAATGCTATCTCCAATAAATCGAGCAATTCCTTTGAAACACGTGATTTGAAATGTATAACCCGGAAAAAATGTTGATTTTTTATGAATTTTGGAAACCAGTGGCCAATAATTTTTTGTTCAGTCAGAGCCCATTTCATACAAAAAAAATTCAATACCTCGATAACGATAACATTTATAACACATGTTTACAGACACTTTTAGTTTTAGTATCGGCACAATATTTCCTATTATTTTATATAATATATAAAAGGTATTAATTTACTAACCTTTTTTTGCTTTTTTACTCCTTGTACCTGCCATTTCATCTACTGAGGTCTCACTCAAAGCATCACACTCCTTATTCTCCCTTAATTTAATCCGCCTTTCGTAAGACTCCTGCCTCCTTGTCTCCAAATCCTTCCTCTTTACCTCTGCCTCCGCTTCCTTGGATTCCTGCTCCTTCCGATATTGATTCAAAAAACTATTTTCTTCAATCACTAATGGGCATGCCTCTTTTTTCGGATCTTCCTCTTTTTCCTGTAGTGAAAAATAAAGTAATAAAAAAATTGCACTAAATATTAATTTTTAAGATTTTCATGTTTTATACTTTTTAAAAATGTTATTTAACATTTATCTGAAATATGTACCTAGATCTTGGTGGATGCACAGTGGATTTATTTTCTTTAAATATCACAGTCTTGAAACTACAGTTGCTCAATAAGATTACTAGTTAAGTGTCTTGCCATTTGGTCAGAGCTTGATTGATCACAAAAACTTTAATTCACCTCTAGTCTTTTGCCATAAATTGTTTCAGTATGTTTTTCTAATAACCACCTCAGTTCCTCGTGCTAAACGGGAATAAGTCTCTCCCATGTATCCCTCACCTATGTTTGTCTTGACAGCATTGGAAGGGCTGACAGTTTGCTTAATGATCACACCATATTTTTTCCAATCAACCGAACTCTTAATTTGTTTCTCGGTATATCGCCTCCTAAAGATTAATATGAACAAGACACAAATAATGACTAATCTGGTGCTAAATCGAAATATTGCTGTTGATGAAAGAGATATTGTGCAGACTACATCGTATAAGTAATAGGATATGAAATTCGGTTGGGCAGAGATAACCCGACATGTGAGCTCCCATGTCACATAGGATTAGCCTAGGCAGCGTTTGGTAAATTGAATTATGTATTTAAATCGGATCTATCCATATGCATCAAAAGGAAAATCTTTGACCAATGTGTGTTACCTGTACTCACTTATGAAGCGGAAACGTTAACACTCACAAAAAAGGTAGTTAATAAGATTCACGTGACTCAGATGGCTATGGAGCGCCAGATGTTGGGTGTCTCTCTGAGAGACTGAAGAACGAAGAAATACGTCGTAGAACAAAAACAACAGACGCTACCGAAATTGACAAAACACCACGTTTTCTTTTTGATGCCCCAGAGCGAAAGGCTCCATTTTTCAAAACTTAATTGATCAAACGACTAAGTGACACAATCTATGTTCGAATTTGAATCAAACTAAATTATGGTAATACACAGATATTGACTGTAAATTATTGTGCTGTGCGTTTTTATTTCCGGCTTGCGATTTTTAAAATATAACTCTAAAAGCACGGTATTATTTATCATTATCTTTTTAAATTGAAATTTAATCCAGAACCCTGAATAAGAACAAAAATTATTTACATAAAAAAATGCGGTGGTGGGTAACTGCACGTGTACATTTCAACGAATTTAGTTTGGCTTACCGCAATGCTCAAACAAAATAAATTGATGACTAAATGTTTGCTTATGTAGTCAATATAAGTTATGGCTCCTCTACACATCGGCAGACGCGTCCGTGGACGACATCTACTAGCGGCTTCCCACGATCGGCGATTCTACAGATCATCGCAGACAGCCAATGAACACGGACGGCAACGCACCACAGACAGAGCTCTTCCTACGGTCCGTGATAGTCTGTGTAGGTCTCTACTTTTGTTTTTTGCCATTTGTATGTCTGTATTAAATTGTCTCTCTTCTTTTTTGAGTCTTTAATTTGTTGTTTATTCGGTTCCATATCGATCCGGTTATTATGCTGTGACGCCGTAGAATTCCATAAACTTGGTTCATTATGTTACAAATTTAAAAAATTAAAAATAACTTTGTTTGTCCATTCCATGTTTTAACAAAAAACTTCTGCAAAACAACTTTGACAATACTACAGACAACTACTCATGTCAGCGAATGAACAATTTCTGACTTAACCTTGTCTGTTAAAACACGGACGCACGTATCGTGTCGCACGGGCATATACCGCACCTTTAATGTTACCGACTCTGGATGGATACGACGCACCAGCACAGACGTGCACGGACGAGACCATTCGAACGGTGCGTAGGTGCGAGCTGGTCTGCGTCCGTCCGCAATATCAGCGATCGTGGGAAGCCGCTATACGCATGCATCTGGAGATGTGTACATAGGGTAATTTGATCTGTTGTTTATATATCACGTCCGCGGATGCGTCTGCAAGATATCCGATTGTTGTCGATTTTTTTAGCACAGATCAAAGGGATTCGATCCGGACGTCCGACGCCTTTCCACAAATCTGACCTCTGACTTCTTCTTTTCTATTTTTTTTTAATGATTCTATTCCGATGTACACTTAAGTAATAGTTGAACGTTCTAAATAGGCATATAGTTGCGGCAGCTATAATCTCAACATCAACATCCATTTAATGCTCGCGCGTAGATATTGCGTCTCCCGGGAATTAACACAGACTGAACGATTTACAGATGTGTTCAGACGTGTGGTCAGCTTGTGATGATACATCTGCAGATACGTCCGCAGACGTAATACACTTGTTTGATTATAACATCCACTCAATAAAAAAATATAAACATTGGACAAATTTGTTGACATTATCTTCATTTTCGCATAAATAATAAAAGTTTCATTTTGCATTTTTTTATCTTTCAATGGGTTGTTATTGTTGAGTAGGCATTTTTAAAACCAATAGTCATAAATAAATCTGGAGAATACATACTGCTGAATCGTCACCATAAAGTATTATTTTACTGTTGTATAAATAGGTCGTTGGTATTTACTTACCAAAATTGCACAATTGCACAACACTTTAGCAGTATGCCAAGAAATTAGTATTTTTTCAAATAAGAAATTTATACATTTCACTGCTACATTTCTTAAAATACAACCAATACACAGTTCCAATAATAAAAATCAATTACCTTCGTTATTCTTTTTTCCAGTTGAAAGTAAAAAATATAGTCGGTAGGTAACTTTTTCATGGTTGCGATTTAACAGAAAATATTACTATAACCAACACTATTTCATAAACTATTAAAAAAATACATAGTCTTCAAATGACAGTTTGTAAAGTTGCTAAACTGCATTTAAAGTTCGTTGGAATTATGACAATAAAACCACTAAATCATGTTTTATAATTTCTTTTTTTTTTTCAAAATTTTAAACTAAATTGCTTTATGTAAAGTTGACCAAATGACGCTTGATAATTTTTGCCTTTCAGTCGTCCATATTATTAAAAAAAAGGTTCCTTAAAACGGACTACAATGTCACCAGATATTTTAATCCTTTTTCTGTAGGTATGAAACCTTATATTTATATAAAAGTTGACTATTTACAGGTATAGCTTACAGGGTAGAAATAAGCGATTTGACGACAAATAATGTGTGAACTTTCCAATGTTGTATCAAAACTGTGGCATTTTTTAAGAAAATAAATAAACATAACAAACATAACGTATACATAAACCTCTAATAATCCGAGACAAAGTTGTATTTTTAAATGAAACTCAGATGTTCGCTAAAGGAATATGATGAAATAATCCTAGCAAGACGGCACCATGAACCGATATTCCCCTAGCAGTTTTAGCAATGGTAAAAGATCGCCAGTTTTCACACTGATATACTTTTAAAAGCTGATTTAGTGAAATGGTTACAAAATTCTAAAAATATTTGTAGAAATCAAACAAATGCTCTTAAAAATGGCCATGAAGTTCTTTGAATTACCCTACCATTGCCACTACAATCCAATTGGGTTGGTTTGGGGTATATCTAGTAAAAAAATACTATAACAAGTATGCATCCAAAACAACAGATGGCGCTAGGGTTCTTAGTTTATGGAAGAATTGTTAGAATAAATGAAGACGGCAAACTTGTATTAGACATACAGAAGATCCAATTTTTGAGTTCTTTCAAACTGAGCAAGTTTTGGATAAGGTGTTCATAATAACATTCAATAAGGTGTTAGATAGTTCAGATAGTGATGACTCGATGGTGAAGTATGTGATACTGAATATAAGCATATTCATTGGGTGATGTCTTACATTGGATAATAGGAAATATTATTCACTTTACACCAATGTGCAAATGCAAACATCACCACAAATATTAATAAATAAAACTGATCAATTTATGTTTAGTTTAAATTTATTTAGTATTCTTAATAGTTACTTTATGTCCGTTACTATCCAATACCCTAAGTATCTATTAACAAACTGAGCATTATAATATATCGTTACTTCGTTATTCTAAATATTTCGGTATTTTGTTTACACGGTAGGCGACATTACCTGTTTGTCTCGTTACTTTTTATTATCCATAAATAATATATTATCTTATTTAATATTAGCCGCGCCCTTTCAGCAAATTTCGTTTAACCGAATCTCATCGCACACTCAGCAGAAATACTGTTAGTCGGCCGATAAGATCTGTTTATTTAGATTCCTCCTAACTAAATTATAATGGGAAAAAATTGAATTATTACAGTCCGTCCCAAACCCTTCTTTCAGTGCGTCATAGTTGTTCGAATTCGCATTAAGCTAGAAGTGACAGAAAAAAACGTGAGTCTCTGATTATTATACATAGAACTTAGAAAATTAGATATCGTTCACGGGTATTCGCATATTAAAGCGAATTCTACTTACGAACGTATAATTGGTTGGAGTTTAGAATACGCTAAATAGATATCCAATTAATTATGCATATAAATATAATTTGACACAGATGATCTTGATAATGACAGTGACAGTACTTTCACAATGTCAACTGATAAAATGATAATTGCCATTCCAGGTTAGTATTTTCAGACATTTTAACTGCAGTGAAAATTAAAATTTGTATTTATTGTCATAAAAATATTTTAAATATTCCGAGATATACCGAGAATGAAAAAGACTAATATTAAAATTATTAAATTAGTTTCAATTAGAAAAAGAGGCTGAGACATCTTTATTATCAGTTTCTGTCGTTCGCGAATCAGATTGTGAATTCCGGAATGAGATTGAGGAAATATCTTAAACTAATGCCTTTATGGATATTTATATGTATTTAAAACGGTTCTTTTTAGAACCACGACATTTTCTTGAAATGTAGGATATAATTGATACCAGCCACATATCTAGTGTAATCATTGATTTTCAAGAATCAGATTCTGAATGGGATTATAGATTGTTTATATAGTCTGATTGAATATAATATTCATTTTTGTTATTCATAAAAAAGAAG